ATGAACGGGCGTTTTTAAACGAATCTAGTGAGTCAGTGATTCATGATTACCCATTCATAAATACTGTCACTTGATTCATTTCAGCCGTTCGAATGAATCAATTGAATGAATGATTCAGTGTTAAAAATCAGTGACTTGCCGCCACCTGCTGGCAGTTTTAGTTTATTTTTTAAAGTATCTTTTCAGTTATTTAAATTATTTAATATTTCTATATTTAAAACATTAATCTCATCATGAATTTATGGATTTAATTGCACTCATGCTACCTCTGAGCCTCATTAAATGTCTGAAAGTACATCAAGCCACTTTTGTGTTCTTCTGTGCCACCAAGAATTTGACAAACGATGACAAACTTTTAATAAAGTTAGAAAAAATGCCATTACAAAGTTAAAAACAAAATTCCACTGTTAATCACTTTAAGGAGTCAAATATCACCTTGTAATGGGAAGGCTAATTTTTGATAAAATTTTGGATTATTGATTAGAAGGTGCTCCTAAAATTTTGAACGTGCTCCAAAATTTTTTAAGTTAGGAGCACAAGTGCTCCTAAAAAGAAAAGTTAGCGTAGAGACCTGTATAGATATATCCTAATAAACCATACTTCAATGAAAAGCTTATTTATTCAGTTTTCAGATGATGTATAAATCTCTATAAATCTCAGGTTTTGTGGTCCTGGGTCACATTTGTATGCTAATTCATTCTTACACCATTCACTCTGATCCATACAAACATGAAATATGAATGAATAATCAACTTCTTATGTTAGCATCTATTAAGTTAAGTAATATAATCAACGCTGTCTGCTGTCCAGTTCCAGGTATTTCACTTACCTTTGCTGCAAAGAATGTTTAAGTATTTTGGTGTCGATAATGAAGTATGTGTTTATGTCGTTCTGCATGTGTAACAGGCTCTCATGTTGGAGAACCTTCAGAAAACCTCCACTCATCACATTGGCCTGCAGCCTAACTCCCGGGTGAGCTGAGCTGCGATGTTTTACAGTAGGAATAAGCGTGTTACTGTCTGTTCTTGTGTGGATGGCTTAACTGCTCTAAAACAACTGTACCATTTTGGATTACATGTGTGTTTATTTAGATTGGGGAGGAAATGAGTCAGAACAGCTTCATTAAACAGTACCTGGCCAAACAGCAAGAGCTTCTGAGGCAGCGTTTGGAGAGGGAAGCACGAGAGGCAGCTGAAACTGATGGTGAGTATCAGCTGATAGTGCAAATAGTGTTTTTTTCCTTTTCTTTCTTGAAGCTGAATGTGTTATCTTGTTAACCAGCAAAAATGCTGCATCCTTGTGTAGTAGTAAAGGTGAAATATGGAAACACTGATCATTTACAAGTGCTCTCAACATATGCCAATTTTTTGGTTGATGTGCATTCTTTTTATATCTAGGCATTACATGGGGATGACAATTTTTGACAAATAAAAATAGTTGTTAAAAGAAAAAAAAAGATGTGCAAAATCTGTTTTGATAAGCCAGCTAGCCCTCTGTTGATTCTTCTTACAGTTGCACTACATAGTTATTATACAAAGGGTTTTTGAGCATTGAGTGTTTTGTTAGATGATGATGAATATACTTTGTGATATATCTTCTATAATTTTAAAATAAGTGTACTAACAAAAGCATTGAACTCCTGATGTACGCGTCATGTGGTAAAATGTAAATCTACCTAAATTTACTTGTATATTTATATTTTAAAAAAAAGGAAATTTGAGTTAAACATTCACTTTTTGTAAAATGGGTAATTATGAATTTGTATATACCAATAATGCCAGTAGTTCAGATAATTACTTGCCCTGCCAACATTTTCACTAGCCCTGCCGCAAAAAATTTAATTGCTGCCTTTATCATTGTTTTTGATCTGTTATCTTGGATTCTAATAAATAAGCATAATAAATAAGCATATATGAAACCAATATTTTAGATACCAATAAAATTTTACAATTTCGATACAACAACAAAAACTACTAGCCTGACAAATATAAGTTCAATCATTATTAAAGACACGTGAACAGTTATTAAATAAGAACAAATGAACAAAATACAAACAATAGCACTACTGAATATATAGAACAAAGATACAAATGAAATGATGCTTTAGGATTTTATGTTTGTAGATGTTCAGGTACAGAAACTGAATAATCACATCTAAAATAACATTTCCATATTCTTCAGTGTTGCACCTTGATTTTTCATAGCCATTTTGGTAACCACTGCATTTTAATCATGAATCGATCAAAAAAAAAAAAGATTATAGCATGTGTAGCATGTGCAATGTTTGATTGAAATTAGACTGTATAATTTCAAAATTTGAAGCAAAAACAGAATGGTCTGAATTAGGCATGGGCCGGTATGATATTCTGACAGTATGATAACCTTAGATTAAAAAAAATATCACGGTATCACGGTATTGCGATTACAGCTCTAAAATATGTTCTTTTTAAATGTCTGGGTAAAAAAACAACTTTTTTTTTTCCACTGAACACATTTTATTTTTAAGAAACATATAGAACATTTTGGAACAGTAAACATGTCGGGCTAAATAATTAGAATAAATAATTAAATTCTTCTTAATTAAATGCAGTCACTTAAGTGAGCCTAAACCTGCAGCTCAATAATCAAAAATATAATCAAAACATAATTTCTGTAAAAAAAATAAAATTAAAAAATTAATAAAAAATGCATGCATAAACCTGCAGCTCAACAAGGTTTTTGGAGACATGCTCGCTTTCTACACATTCATCTTTCAGTCCAAGTTATGATGCAGGAATGTTCACCTTTCCCGGATTAAGTTTGGAGCTATGGTTTGGAGCGGTGAGGTACGAGGATGTGTGCACATACACACATAAGGAAAGAGAGAGCGCGAGTGTCACACACACACACACACACGGTCTCTCCGTACAACAGTTTGTTTTTTGTTTTATAAATGTCGTGATTTTGAACAGATGTAAACAATGGCAGGAGGCTTAAAAGTATAGACGTGATACCAGCTAAATTTAATTATTGTACTAAATCGCAGACAAGTACAGTACGTACTTTAGACTGCTATTCCTCACTCTGTGAAGTAACGTGAGGGAGGAAACTAGTTGTCGTTAGCTAGTTAATTAGCCATGTTATCTGCCTTGGTAGCAAGCCAAATAGTATTTGTTTCAACACTGAAACAAACGGCGGGTGGGTCTCTGTCGTGATCGGGGGTGAGAGAGGGAGAAAACCGAAGGTGGCACAGATATATAGTTTATGTTCGACTTGGAAGTATTTATTTAGCGATCGGCGCTAAATCGTAATCTGTACGGAACATCATTGTGTACAGAACATGGTTAGTCTACGTTACCCGAAAAATTCCCATACGACAGACTTCGTCTTTTTCGACGGGGGAAAAAGTTCCAGGGATTCATCTCCTTCGGCCATCCTACACACAGGTGACTCTCACTGACTGCTTACACCAACCGGAGGGGGAGGGATCGTGTGACTCGCTACGCTCTTCGCTGCACACAACTGAGGGAGTCCTGCACTTTCCGTCTTTGACAACACGTAAAAAAACTGCGCATACCGCAGGAACGGTATAAGGGAAAATTTGAGTGGTTTTGAAACCGTGACTTTTCCAAACCGCGGTATACCTTGAAACCGGTTATCGTCCCATGCCTAGTCTGAATTTAGCTTTGTGAAACTATGCTACATAAAACACCTGCATGAAACACAAACAGCAGAGATTGAGACGCAGATTCATTCTCTGCCAGCAGGTGGCACTTATAGAACAGCAGTGTTTACTTGCTTACTGTTGTAAACAAAGCAGTGCTGTGCGTATTAGCACTACTTTAAATGCATTATACCGAGCCAAGATGAAAAGAAAACCATGTAAACTTTTTCTGAAAACAGTCAGTTCCCCTCAGAAACACATCCATATAAAATTGAATATTTAGGATTTTTTTCCCTATATTTCGCAGTGATCTTGCTCTGCCTGCTACAGTATTTTCTCCTCTTTGCATTCATCTTCAGCGTCGCAGGCCTGTTAACGGCCGTTTACAGACTAAATATAATATTAACGTAATATTTCCACACATGATATTTTGAAAAAAAATATTATTTTTATTATTATAAGTCTGAAATAAAAAAATTAAAAAACGCCTGGTCGATCTGTGCATCTCTTCTCCACTGTGTAAGTTAAATATAGATTAATCATTGTTAAAGCTACAAAGTTACTCACCAAGACGGGTATTTTGACATACTTTTGTATGTATTTGTCCGTTCAAACGCAAGAAAGACGTGGAAAGAAACTCGGGGCTCGGGCGTCAGGGGCGTCAGAGTCTGTGCGCGCGCTGTACAAACAGAACAGCTTGTGAGTACTGAATGGAGTTGTCTTTCGTGTCTTTCGTGAATGCTTTTAAGTTGCTTGAATTTTTTAATTAGCAAGGCTTAAAAACAGATACAAATGATAAACTTTCTTTAACGACACGGCAGTGGCCCGATTGGGCCAGTGACAAATCCGTCAACTGTCCCGAGCGTCTTTCACGCTGGCCCCGTCCATCGGGCAGTCAGTATTGTCGAGCCCTGATATATTTATTTATTTATTTATATATATATATATATATATATATA